TCTCTTAAGAACCATTGCTTAGCAACGGAGATTCTGCAAATATGTGAAAGCATCCCGGACAAACACTGACAATGCAAAAATAAAATATTTAAGATACAAATATTAATGAAACCTGCAGCTTTTCTTTTAGGTATGATGGACAAGTCAATTGAAAAACAATTTGGGGTGTTATTCCGTCCCAGGGTGACGGCCGCAAAGGATTGTACTTGCCAAACAGTGGAAAGAAAAAGAGAGGCCAACGGTTGGAGAAGGGATTTTGAAATTGGCTGAATTAGCAGAGAGGGCGAAATAAGCTGCTTTGATTAGAGGTGAGGGACTAGACAGCTTTATAAGAGACTGGAAACCGTTTGTGGACTTTCTATGTGCTAAATGTAATAAAAGATGGTTAACAGAGGGATTTGAAGATTAGTGTAATGTTTAGCTCAACGTGTTGACTGTTTTTTCTTCTTTTTTCTTTTTTATCTGTCCGTCTATCTATCTATCTATCTATCTATCTATCTATCTATCTATCTATCTATCTATCTATCTATCTATCTATCTATCTATCTATCTATCTATCTATCTATCATCTATCTATCTATCTATCTATCTATCTATCTATCTATCTATCTATCTATCTATCTCTATCTATTTATCTATCATCAGTCTATCTATCATTAGTCTATCATCTCTGTCTGTCTGTCTGTCTGTCTGTCTGTCTGTCTGTCTGTCTGTCTGTCTGTCTGTGTCTGTCTGTCTGTCTGTCTGTCTGTCTGTCTGTCTGTCTCTCTCTCTCTCTCTCTCTCTCTCTCTCCCTACTTACCTACCTATCTCTCTCTCTCTCTCTTTATCTATCTATCATCAGTCTATCTATCGTTACTCTGTCTGTCTGTCTGTCTGTCTGTCTGTCTGTCTGTCCGTCCGTCCGTCCGTCCGTCCGTCCGTCCGTCCGTCCGTCCATCCATCCATCTATCTATCTATCTATCTATCTATCTGTAAAAGGGCAGGAGAATTTATTGCTTTTTTTTCTTCTCTTTCGGCACTCAGCCAGTGGATCCTACATGTAAAATGTTAAATTTAATTGACCACTTTTTCCTCCTCCTTTGTACACTATTTTTTGTTGTTGTTGTCGTCGTCGTTGTCATTAGGGTTGAACGTATGTTTTTGTTTTGTTTCCTTTTGTTGTTTGTTTTACTGTTCTGTATTTTGTTCTCTAGGATAAAACAATAAATTTTATTTTTTTTTTAAAAAAAGACACCACCCAAGGGAAATTCTGATCCCCATGGTAGTTGTAAGTCGAGAACTACCGTACCTGTAGCAAATTTCATGCATGTTCTAAACTGCCTTTCCTGGTCCTGGTCCTACGATTCTACTTTGTCCTCCCTGAAAATGCTGCATTCATGGAGCACAACTGTTTAGGTAGACCGCTTCCTCGCACTCGCTTATAAAAACATGAAGCAAATACACCACGTCGGTTGCTACATCATACTAAGCTCTCGTGCAAGACTGGCTCTCTGGTAAACAAACCACACTGCGGCTTAGCGCAACATCCTAATGTGCAGGTCCAGAGTGGACCATGTTTTCCTGCCGCATCGCTTCACTTTGCGGCGCCCCTGTAAACATGCAGACCCACTTATTCCCGTAAGGAATGACTTAAGACAGGGATGCAAGATTGTGGGAGGGTCAAAGTCCTGGGGCTGGTGAACATCAGAATAATAGAATAACACAAGAGTTGGAAGGGACCTTGGAGATCTTCTAGTCCAGCCCCCTGCTCAAGCAGGAGACCCTGTACCAGTCCAGACAAGTGGCTGTCCAGTGTCTTCTTAAAGGCCTTCTGAAAGAAAACCTGGTTAATTGTTCTCACTGTTAGGAAATTCCTCCTTAGTTCTAGGTTGCTTCTCTCCTTGATTAGTTTCCATCCGTTGCTTCTTGTCCTGCCTTCAGGCGCCTTGGAGAATAGCTTGACTCCCTCTTCTTTGTGGCAGCCCCTCAAATATTGGAACCCAGCTATTATATCACCTCTAATCCTTCTTTTCACTAGATTTTTTTCGCCCAGCTTTTACTGAGACATGGGCTGCATCTCATCAAGAGAGACTTCTAGACCTACCATTACTCAGTTAAACCCCCCCCCCCAGCAGCAACTCTTATCTAGCCAACACTGGTTTCTATCTGCTCAGAAAGACCTAAACCGTCCCTGGTCAATCAACTTTACTGACCACAATAGATTCTGAAGTCGCCTGCCATAGACCCGATATTTGCAATATATATATATATCCCAGGATTCTGAGATATTCTGTCTAGCCTGTTGTGTCCATGGAAACAATTGATGGGAGACTTCTGCTATCTCAACCAGAATTGACTCTCCATGGGTTCCAGCTAACTAGCCTCATTTAAGAAAACAACCCTTATCTTTATTTACAAGGAAAGGGATTGATTTTCTCCCTGTAATGAAACAGCCACAGTCTGTTTGGGGGCCGAGGGAAGCTTGGAGATAAACGTGCTAATCCTTGGAACGGCCATTTCCTGAAATGCATTTTTAATCCCGGGATCCAGGCGTGCTACTTTTCCCAAGGCCAAGATTGATTTATTTTTTTTAAAATTTGGCCTCATTTATACTTAAGTCTCACGACAAACAGAGTGATCCCGGTTACGCTTCAGTCACGTACTTCACAGTTTCCCCTTTCGACCACCTTTGAGTTGGGTTATAATTTTCAGGGGTCTCTCCTGCAGGACAGTGAGAAGATGTTTGTGGCCTTCTGCTTTAAGATGGAGGATGGGTGATTTTTCAAAAGGTCTTTTTTTTGTGCCTTTGGAAATTTGTCTTCTTTTTTTGATGTCAACGATCATTTGATGTCAACAGTCAACAGTTAATAGATGAAGCCTTCCTTCCTTCCTTCCTTCCTTCCTTCCTCCCTCCCTCCCTCCCTCCCTCCCTCCCTCTTTCTTTCTTTCTTTCTTTCTTTCTTTCTTTCTTTCTTTCTTTCTTTCTTTCTTTCTTTCTTTCTCTTTTCTTTCGTCCTTCCTTCCTTCCCCCTTTCTTTCTTTCTTTCTTTCTTTCTTTTTTTCTTTCTTTCTTTCTTTCTTTCTTTCTTTCTTTCTTTCTTTCTTTCTTTCTTTCTCTCTCTCTCTCTCTCTCTCTCTCTCTCTCCCTCCCTCCCTCCTTCTCTCCCTCATCTACCTATTTTCTTCCTTTCTTCTGTCCCTCCTCCCTCCAAACTCTTTGTCCCCCTCCAAACTCTTCTGGGGCCGTTGGACCTCATTGTCAGCCCAACCTCCTTGCAACTGCTGATCGGTTCAATCCTCTTTTATAATCACCACGACTCCTGGGGCCTTCCTGCTCCCTCCTTTTCCCTCTCACTCTCATTTAGAACTATGACCTTCATTGTTAATTAAATGGCAGTTTTCTCAAGCCGGTGATTCAATTACCTCCTGACACCTGCTTGGAGAACACAGCTGCTGATCGGAATAAACAGCAAAGAGTTATTTTTTGCAACAAGTGACTTGATCCCCAGGAATCTGATCCAATCACTGAGATGATAAATTGGCAGCCGATGGAACAAAAGGGGAGAAAATGTGTGTTTGGGTGAGAGAGGGAAGGTGAGGAGAAGGAAGGAAGGAAGGAAGGAAGGAAGGAAGGAAGGAAGAAAGAAAAGAAGAAGGAAGGAAGGAAGAAGGAAGGAAGGAAGGAAGGAAGGAAGGAAGGAAGGAAGGAAGGAAGGAAGGAAGGAAGGAAGGAAGGAAAAATGGAAGGGAGGGAAGAAAGAAAAGAAGAAGGAAGGTAGGTAGAGGGGTAGGTAGGTAGAGGGGAAGGATGGAAATATACTGTTTATTTCCTTTTTGTGAATGGGATTTTGACTTGCAATAAGACCCAGATGCCGGGCAAACCTTTCATATGATTAATTTAATATGTGGGGCCATTATTAAATAGGGGGAAGCAATCGTGTTAAGATAATATTATTGTAATTCTGTATAATTTTAATTCAATGCAGATGAATTCAAATGGATTCTAGGCTTTGGATGGGCTCCTCCTGCTTTTTGGATTGCGGCCCCTCCTGCAACAGATAGTTCTCAACTTACATTTTGTTTAGCGACCGTTCAAAGTTGCGACCACCCTGGAAAAAGTGTCTTGCAAGCAGTCTTCACCCTTACGCCTGTCTCAGCATCCCCACGGTCATCGGATCGAAATCCGGGGTGCTCGGTCACTGGAAGGTATTTGTGACCGTTGCAGCAGGCCAGGGTGGTGTGGATTGCCATTTATGACATCGGCAGCTGCTTCCAGCAAGCAAAGTCAGTGGAGGAAGCTGGATTTATTTAACGACCACATGAGTCGCTTAACAACCGCATTATTCGCTTAAGCACTGCAGTGATCCATTAGGCAGATTAAAGGTTTGCCCGGTATCTGGTCTTATTGCATGTCAAAATGCCATTTCGGTTCTGGAAAAGGTGATAAAAATCAGACAGGAGGACTTATTTTACCAACTGTCTTGTTTAGCTATGGAAATTCTGGCCCCAACGGTGATCGTAAGTCGAGAACTATATGTATTGCACAGTGGCTAATGGTGCCTTGCACCTTTCCCTTTTGTGTGCATAAAATCATACAAGAACGGCTGCAGGGTTTGGGTTTGGCTAGTCTAGAGAAAAGGACGAGGGTGGACATGATAGCAGTGTTCCAATATCGCAGGGGCTGCCACAAAGAAGAGGGAGTCAAGCTATTCTCCAAAGCACCTGAAGGCAGGACAAGAACGTTGCCTACCTTTGACTAGTTCCTCTCTTCGTTGGACCTTGATTCCTCTTTGAAGGACTGTCAATCTTGTTAATTGGTCACCTTGTTGGACGGAGGTCTTCGCCACTTACGAGGTTGTGACCTTCAAAAATTCTTCTCTGACCTGTCGGTAAACAGACTTTACCATATCCCAAAGGACGCTGAGCAGGGGGTTGGACTAGAAGACCTCCAAGGTCCCTTCCAACTCTATTCTGATTCTGATTCCTCCCTCTGGATGTAGGCTTTGGCCCACACTTACCGGCATGGTCTGACTCCCATGGAGAGTGCTAATGGCGGCTTGAGCTTCTGCGTGGCTTCCGTATTTGACAAAGGCACATCCTAGACGGAGAGAAAAAGTTCGATTCCGTTCAACACAGTTCAGGTTTGAATCCAGTTTGAAAGAAAGCCTAAGGAACCATTATATTATTATTATTATTATTATTATTATTATCATCATCATCATCATCATCATCATCATCATCATCATCATCATCTGCATCCGTAGCAACGTTAACTTTTTTTCAAGTAGCCTTCCTTAGAACGATTGGAGCAGGAGATAACTGTTTTTAGTAACAAGGAGCACCTTTGATTGATATTTTTAGTTCCTTGGAAGTAACAAAGCAAGAATGAGGATTCTGATAGTAAGATTCTGATAAGAACCAGTTCTGACTGGCCAGAGACAAGAATTCACCCGATGTGGTGGTCAGTTGAGAGCTACTTGTAACCAGAAAACTCATTATAATGTGGCAAAGACACCTCCTGATTATGCAATTGGGCATTAACAAGATGATGCTAAGACTATTATGGGATGCTATGAACTGTTACATGGTACAAGGTTGGATACCCCTGGTCTACAGCAAAGAGCTTGTGAACTTCAACTCCCAGAATTCTCCAGACAACATTGCTGGCTGGAAACTTCTGAGAGTTGAAGTCCACAGGTTTTAAAGTTGCCAAGGTTGGACACCCCTGGTGTAGATCTTGGCCATTCAGTGGTCCAGTGTATCATGCAAACCCAGAAATGGGGTTAAACACAGTTGATCAGCTGGATCCACGTTGGATACATCTTTAGACATCCCATCAATATCCATCAACCTTCTAGATTGGTTCTCCTTGCATAGTGCCTGCCATGTAGACTCCCAGTTGACATACATATGGATTCTAATCTCTTACCTTCTTTCCATTTTAGACCCACCCTCCCGTTACATCTGCCCCTCACCTTTACTGGCTCCATCAGGGCCTCGGAGGATGGTGCATTCTTCAATCTGTCCGAAGGGTTCAAAGAGTCGCCGGACATCGTCCTCACTTTGTTGTTTCCCCAACATGCCTACAAAGAGCTTCCTGTCTTCTAAAAACAAGCCACCTCTCATTAGTCAGAGTAACAGAAAAATGCAATGATCAGAGCCAGCTGGGTGGTGGCTTTGATGATCAGGCCTGCCCTAGAAGTGAGGGTTAGAGACATTGTCCAGCCAGAGGACCTGCTCAGCTAAAACTGCCTCTGGATCCTCCAAAGGAGCAAAGCCAGTCACATTAGGAAGACACTAGAATTGGTCTCATCATGGCAAGAACTCAATGTTTCACTGTAAAAATTGCATCTCCAGTTTGTTTGCTTAACTAACCCATGGAGGACATTGCTGTCCTACAGTATTCCATCAACTAGCAAAGTCTGACATAGCAACGACACACTTCATTCTCCTTTAATGGTCAAGTAGACCACATGGATGTGGTCTAGAGATAATGGTCACCAAGAAGTCCTTGGTGCTTTCTGGACTCTGTGGTTTGCTTGCTCAGAGAGCACCACGAACTCCATAGTTCAACCCTGAGCTACATACAGTATATATTCTCTTTTATTGATGGTCACCTCATGATGAGACTGTTGCAACATGGTCTACATGGAGTTGCCCTTGAAAACCATCCAGAAGCCACAGCTGGTTTAAAATGCGGTAGTGTGAGTAGTGATGGTCACTTCTTGTTGTGCCCATGTGTTGTTATGCAAGCTACATTGATTCCCAGTTGGCTTCTGGGTACAATTCAAGATACTACCTGGTACCTATAAAGCCTTCATGGCATCTGAGGGACCACCTGTCTCCCCTTATTTTTGCCTGCCTGGTTTACCCTCCAAAACCAATCAGGAGGAAGAATGCCACTTGGCCATAGAACCTGGAACCTGGGCTTATGCAGAATTAAGCTCTGATTTATGCAGCAGTGGTTTTCTGTATACACCAACCCTGGCCGAATCCCCACAACCCACTAAAGCAGGGGTGTCAAACTCGCAATGTCACGTGACGTGTCGCAACGTATTGCAACTTTTTTTCCATTGCCGGCAATGGGGTGGGCGCGGTTTTGGCAGGATGCATCCAGCCCGTGGGCCGGCAGTTTGATACCCCTGCACGAAAACCTAAAGTTTGGTTTACAAATCACAGTAGCTGCATTTGCATGAAATGTGAAACAGAGCCTCACATAATGCATCAGCATGGGATGGGAAGGGAGTTTGAATCCCTCCTTAATGTGGGGAAAGGCAAAGGAGGAATAAGAAGAATATCCTGGACATCTGGAGTCCCAACAATAAGCATGAGATGACAACACGTTGTGGAAGAGCCCAGCGTAGGAAGAAGAAGAGGGCATTGACCTATTCTCCAAAGTACCTGAAGGCAGGATAAGAAGCAACTGGTGGAAGAACATTGAAGAGACATCCAATCTAGAAGTAAGGAGAAATTTTCTGACCGCGAGAACAATTAATCAGTGGAACAGCTTGCCTCCTGGAGCTGTGGGTGTCAAGAAGACATTGGACAACTATTTGACCCTGTTGGTATAAGCTCTTCTGCCTTGAGCAGGTGGTTGGACTAGAAGACCTCTGAGGTCCCTTCTTGCCCTAGGATAGGGGTAGGCAACCTTGGCTCTTTTATGACTTGTGGACTTCAACTCCCAGAATTCCTGAGTCAGCATGGCTCAGTTGGGAAACTCTCCCTTTCCCTCAGCATGGCTGGCTCAGGAATTCTGGGAGTTGAAGTCCACAAGTCATAAAAGAGCGAAGGTTGCTTACCCCTGCTAGCTCATTGGTGGACAACTATGGCAGCTTTAAGACTCGTGGATTTCAACTCCCAGAATTCCTGAGCCAGCATGGCTCAGCTGGGAAATTTCTCCCTTTCTCCTCAGCATGGCTGGCTCAGGAATTCTGGGAGTTGAAATCCACGAGTCATAAAAGAGCCAAGGTTGCCTACCCCTGCCCTAGGATTCTACATTCTATGTAAAATAGCAAAAGGTAGAGCACTGAGGTCACATTTTGAATCGTCTCAGATACCACGATGGAGCAACGATAAATAGGACAGATACACACTGGCAGATCTGAAGGTTACGGGAAGCCGGTCTCCATATGTGTGCGTGGCAGAGGAAGAGATTATTAAATAAAGTAACAAGCTCCTATGTGGTTATGATTGACTTCCCCAATAACCTACCCTTTCTGGCTTTCTCAAGGGTCATAAATAACCAAAACCTCATTGGAGCCGCTGTAAATAATGACCCGTTCATGATTATTGCCAGCATCTGTCTCTTCTCGTGCTCCCCGCCAGCGTTAGGCTTTAATGGCATTTGACACAAGAGATAAGGTGGCTCTCTCGCAGCCTGGGAAATAAATAAATAACAGCCCAGCCCCGCGGATGCTTTGTCCGTGGAGAGGCTGAGAAAATTAGTTAAGGGATCGGGTTTCATCCATCCTCTCCTTAAATATAAAGCTACTCTCTTCGAAACCAGAGCGAGCCACAGTAACAACGATTGTGTTCTCTTGGAGGGTGGGCCAGCTTCAATTTCCTTGACCCGCTTTCTTGCAGAAATCTGTAGGAGGAGAGGTCAAAAACCTCAAATAGGGTCTGCAACCCCCTGCTTTTAATGCCGAGTCCATGTAAAAAAAGGGGGACTGCAGTTGCACAGTTTCAGATCCCTTCTAGAATTTTTCACACCCTCCAGAGTTGTCCTGCTTTCTTGGGGAGGCTGGACCAACTTGCTTAGTTAGTCTGAACTTTAGTTTGTTTCTACGCGGCTTAATGAATTATGCAAATGCAATCCAATGGCTTGAGGTTGCGTGCCTGAAGCTTGGGAAACAGGTTCATTTAAACAGCAATTAATTGTATCACATGGGCTCATATAAAACACACGGCCTTCAAAAAAGAGTGATACACGTGTCATGGGGTCATCATGTAAATGCTGCCTGTGTAGACTTGCACCTTGATGCCTGATGCAAGTTATGTTCGTCAAATGCTACAACTACTGTTCACCATCCAGAGTCACTTCTCATGGAATGGGCCGCTATTGCCAAGCGCAGGAAATCCGGAAATCCAGGCAGTTCCAAAGAATATAAGGGTTTATCGCAAGCTTAAGCTCTCCACAAGAATCTGAAATACTGACAATCAAAGCAAGTTGGCAGCAGATAAGAGTCCACGGAATTCAAGGTGGGCTGGATTTATATCTCTTGTGAGCATGAAGGGATTCCAGACTTATAACGCGTTTGACCCCTCCCTCCCTCAAACACAGCCTGGTCATGTCCTCAAGCTATATAGATTTGTTGAATGGATGAATAAAGAAAATGCAATGTGCTTACTTGCATCAGGCATCGAGACACAAATGCATGAAGGCAGTAGTGGGATTCAAATACCTGAACAACCAGTTCTCTTATTGGATGCAGGCCTGGGCCTCCGAGGCCTAGAACGGACTTCCGGAAGTGGCATCCATGCACTTCTGGTGGGCCATTCTAAGCCTGGGAGGCCTCCTCCAGACCTCTGAGGCCTAGACTGCACTTCCAGAAGCAGTGTGCATTCAGCCGGTTTTCCGAACTCAGCAAAATTTAGCTACTGGTTCTGCCGAACTGGTGCGAACCAGCTGAATCCCACCACAGCATGAAGGCAATGAGAATAATGATCAACACTGCTTGGAAGAAATGTGGTTCCTTGGTTTCTAAATGCAATATATAAATTCAGTACAACAATATAAATGTCATCATCCATGTGTTGACAGCACTGTGGCTTGGGAAGTGCTTAAATGTGGCCTGGCAAATTTTAATTTCCCCCTCCCGCAGAGGCCTAGATCAGAAACTAGAAAGAATGCAAGTTGTGTTAATGGAGATGCAACCTGTAGTCTCTTCTCAGCATAGAGATGGTTACTACCAGGAGATGATCTGTTCAGTCAGCTACTCTGGGACTCTCTGCTCACAGCAGCTTCACGACCACCATGCCATGCTGCTGTTCTTTTTTCGGGAATCTCTATTTTTAAAACACACATGAGTTGGGCAGTTTCTCAGTCAAGCTACTTTGAAATGGACAGTAATCCTTTGAGCAGCTCTTCAAACAGATCTCAGTCTATTGTTACACTGAATGTATCCCACGCTCCCCCCCCCATTTCGTATGTCCCTTTCTTATTCTGTGCCCGCTCTCTCTTTTTTTCAGCAGGAAGAACAGTTGATTCTTCAGTGGACAAAGCCAACTCTAGAAGATTCTATCAGCTACAAGGGGAAGCTTTTGAGCTGCCAACTCTTGGTTTTATTTCGATGGATTGAGTGGTTTGATTTCTTTCCTGCCTTTCTTATTTATATTGTTGCACTGAATTTATATATTGCATTTAGAAACCAAGGAACCACATTTTCTCCCAAGCAGTGTTCATCATTATTCTCATTTTAGTTTCATGCCTATAACTCTGCACGAAAAGCCAGGCTCAAAAGTTATAGAACTTAGAATTATAGGACTGGAATGGATCCTGGAGGTCTTTTAGTCCAACTCCTTGTTCAAGGCAGGAGATCTTATACTATCCTGGTCAAATGGTTGTCCATTGTATTTTTGAAAACCTCCAGGGATGGAGTACCCACAACTCATTGCTCCATTGCTTCATAGAACTTACTCTCAGGAAATTCCTCCTCGTTTCCAGGTTGTTTCCAGGTTGTTTCCACCTATTACTCCTTGTCCTGCCCTCAGGTGCTTTGAAGAATAAGTCAATCCCCTCTTCTCTGTGATAGTCCCTCAAGTACTGGAAGACAGTGATCATATCCCCCCAAAACTGGTTCAAAAGGACTGGTTCAAAATGTTCAAATAATCTGAATGGGGATTTCATCCAAAATTTCTCTTCTTAGTCTAATGGTCTGATCACTGCACCACACTGGCTAAGATTCCTATGGGCCCCCTTCACAAACACACACACAAGCTCTCCTTGAAAATCTTTCCAGAAGGCAAGGATTTGGGCTATTGAAGTTGTAGAGCCTTATTGAGGTTCCTCACTTCTGCGTTCACCCTTTGATCTTTCCACACCTGCAGAACTGGCTATTCCAGACTGCCCTTGGGGTTAGCTATTACCCCATGAGTTCGACGCTCATGAAAGGTCTTCCTGATATTTCTCCAGAAAAAAAACCCCTGCAGGGTGGCTCATGTCCAAACATTGGCAACCATGGACTGAAAGATGGAGCGGGTTGTCTCCCTAGGAAGGATATTTTTTTCCCCTCCTTCTCTAAAGAACCTAGCCAAAACTACTATCTTGTTCTAGCCATTGATTTTTAATCCCTCACCAATTACATTCTGTAAGTGGGTAATTTATTTCCTTGTTCCCTCTGGGACACCTGGAGCTTTTGCTGGCACTAGCTGAGTTGTGTTTAATAACTACATCTCTTTTGGAATAGATTATTTACCCTGCTCAGGCATCAGAACGTAGGAATAAAAGACCAATCCTTATGTACATTCGACTGGAGGCAGAACCCTGGGGAATAAGGTGCCGAGACCGAGGAAGAAAGGAAGGAGAAATTTCAGAGGAGAAGTCAACCAAGATACACCTTGGATACAAGCCATTCAAGTAGCAAGAATAGCCGAGAATCTGTGACTCTCCACTTGTTGATCAAAACTATAACTCCCAGGAGTTCCAACCAGCTCAGCTGCAATTGAACAATGCCCAGAACTGTATTTAGAAAGATCTAGAGCAGGGGTGTCCAAAGTTGGCAACTTTTAAGACTTGGGGACTTCAGCTCTCAGAATGGCTGGCTGAGGAATTCTGGGAGTTGAAATCCACAAGTATTAAAGTGGTCAACTTTGGACACCCCTGATCTACAGGCCAAGAAGTTCCTCATATCTGCAATCAAAGTCTAGAGAACATAGCTAAGAGATGATTTTCTGCAGAAAGAAAATCAGTCAACAAGAGGAGATGGTTGCAAATAGACCTTGGGTGTGTCATTGGGAGGTCTTCTACTTTGGGATTTGGTAACCCCCTTCCTCATTATCAGGCAAACAGAGAGATGTTTGGAAGAGTGGACAGGCTGTGCTAACTCACCTCCATGGACCTGCCCCAAATCTTAAATAGCCACCCATATACTACGCCAATGCAACACAACATCCTAGTTGTAATGTAGTGTGTGAAGGCCAGCGCCAGCTAAAGAACTGGCAGCTGTGATTTCACATTGTTGCGTGTATATAATGCTACCACTAATAATATCATCAAACAACATCTGTCTCTCCCAGGTCCTTAGGAAGGACTCGATAGGTGGATAAAAATGCCAAATCCGATTTAAACATCTGGCTGCATGTGTGACCACCTCTCCTCCTCATAATATCAACGATAATCCTTCAACAGATCCATGCAGAATCAGGGCAAATTTGCATTTCCTTTTGCTAACACTGATTGCTTTGTTCTAATTGAAAATGGAAATGATCTTACCCGGGCGTTTGGAAGGCTGTTATTTTTGGCAAGGAGGAGAGAATGGTTTCCTCAAATCGAGCGCAAGGTAGTGGCATTTATTTAAGTAGACAGCTTAGGGGAAGCATTAATAATTCACCCTCTTCATGATTTGCGATGTTGAGAATTTCCTATCGGTTCTCCAAGACCTGAAGCTTCTGGCAAAACTTCAATCTGGTCGTAAATGCTACGGTATTTGGGATTCCAACTTGTGCTTTTTTTAAAAAAATTCAAGCACATTCCCCTAGAGGGCGCTAGTCAGCCACGAACAGCAATTCTAAAGCCTTAAGATGTTCTCCCCAGAGAGGGCAGGTTGTCACTGTGCGCTAAGCCTAGATGTTATGCCCAAAGTATCCTGGCCAAATTACGACAAACCGAGATGGCATTTGGTTCAGGTGTGCCCAGAATGCCTAGTTATTTTTACCGTCCATTCTCCATTCTCCTGCAAATGTCTATTTGAATATAATGTGGACTTGCAAATATTTCTAGGTATTGAACAAAGCAAATAAATGCAGCCACCAAATGCTCTTAAGTCAACGGTCAATCTCTCACCATCTTGGATCCGAGGCTAATGTATATAGCTTTGGTGAAATCTTTAAAGCTGCACTTCAAGAAATGGGTGGGTCGGGGGGAAAAGCTAAATATCATTTAAATGTAATTAAAATTCAGTGATTCTGAGTGCTTGGTGATTGGACAGAGCTCAGTTTTGGGTCCTTAAATGTCTGGAAAGCTGGAAGATCAGATTGTCTGTGCCGCAATAAGAGCTATCGGTCAGTTCTTTTCTACCTCCATTTTTGTTTTTTATTACAATGGCGTCACAAATGGGGAGAGGAGGCAGCAGACACTGCTCGGGGCTCAACCTGATGGGTTTCAGCAGCACCGCTGCGCCTGCTGCTCCGAACTAGGTTTGTTTTTTTTCCCTACATAGGTTGGCTTAATTGCTCAAATGCTCACTGCTGTGTAAACCGCAAACTGTGTATCTTGCCTCTAAGGTCAGTGGCCAAGTATCAAAAGTGCCAATTTAAATGTAGCCAGCGGAGAGATTGCTATTACAAAAATGCCACTGGTCAGAACAGAAGCATGGAAGAGCAGTCCAAGCTTCACAAACTCTTGTGTTACAAGGGAGAAGAAGTTGTCCGATGCCAGACTTGGGCTTTCAAAGGATTTCAAAGTTTGCAGTTCACCTAGGACTCTGCATCTCTATGGGCTAAACTGTCCCCTCCACTGGACCATCCTTACTCAAACTGCGACGCTCGGCAAATTGCAAAGATTTGCAACGTTCCAATTTTACCTAGAATCCTGCAGTCTGAGACTTGAAGGGTCCGCTAAAGTCATCAACTCTACTTTCCTACAAGAACTGGTGCCCAAACACAAGCATTCCCTCAAGATAGTCCTCAAGTCCTTCTTCAACACAAACAGCTAAAGGGATCTTTGACATCCTATACCAGGGATGGCGAACCTTTTAGAGACTGAGTGCCCAAACTGCAACCCAAAACTCACTTATTTATTGCCGGGTGCCAGGTGGGCATGGCCCACTGGATGAGCATGGCTGTGGTGGTCATGGCAGACTGGGTGGGTGTGGCCAAGGTAGGGGTGGTCACCTTGATGTTGCTCATGGGTAGGGATGCCTGTGGGGGACGGGCAGGGCTGGGGGAGATCCAGGGGGTCTCTGGCAGGTGGGGCAGTAGGTAGGAGGCTCGTCCTGCGGGCGCGAGGCAAGGTGAGGCAGGGTGGAGGTGCCATTGTCGCAGAGCAAGGTGAGGCAGGGGCCGGGGTGGCTGCTGCCTGACACCATCGGCACAGAGGCCAGTGAGCGCATGGGTGCTGGGATGCATCCGGCCATGTGGGACCTCGGCAAGTTAGCGGGCAGCTGATTGAAGAGGCATGGTTGCCATCTCTGGGGCATGGCCTGCGTGCCCACAGAGAGGGTTCTGAGTGCCGCCTCTGGCACGCATGCCATAGGTTCGCCACCACTGTCCTATAGAGTCCTATAGATAGAGTTCCCTGCCTGAGCAGGGGTTTGGACTAGAAGCCCCCCAAGATCACTTCCAACTCTGTTATTCTATTTGTATTCTATTCTCCACCATTTCTCTGTGGGGTTGGGCCCAGAGTTGGGTGACCTTCACCATTAGTAGGATCTTTCTGAATTTCTAATGGAATTTGCCTTCTGGGAAAGGAAGGGCCTCATTCCAAGACCTGCCAATTCATTCCAATTCTGTTTTGTTTTTTGTTTTTTTTTAAGGAAAAAGCAGCTACTTAAAGACAGGATGACTACAGCGGCACAGAACGCAGAACCAAGATCTTAATTTGATTCGAGGACCTCAGACATGATAATATTAAGAGACTATGGTTCCTCTCGGTCTGCTTCCACATTGTAATGGAATGGAAACCTTGGGAGAAGTGGGGAAGAGATGCTGCCTAGGGCAGGGGTCCCCAACCCCCGTCTGTGGACCGGCACCAGTCTGCGGCATGCCAGAAACCGGTCCGCGCAAACAAGCGAAGCCCCATCCGTGGGATGCAGGCAGTACATGAAACCATGCCCCCTCCGGTCCACGGAAAAACCTCTCTCCACGGAACCGGTCCCTGATACTCAAAAGGTTGGGGACTTCTGGCCTAGGGAATGATCAGACAAGAGAAGGAAGATCCCACCGTTGTTTAGCCGTCAGAGAAAGAAATTTAGGGTTTGTCCTAATTAGTCGGATGGTTAAAAGTGGTGGCGGGGAAGTTTGTACCTTCAAACGTGTACGATTCTGATGTATCTCGTAGCCTAGAGCAGATATAGCTCATCTAATTGTGTTGCTTGCCTGAGAAGGATGATGTCAGGCCCAACCCAAGAATGACATAGAACAATCCAGCCAAAGTCTAGTTCTTTATTTGCTCACACCAGGAAGACAGAATCTTGCCAGGCTAAACCTGTATTACTTGAACCCAACAGATATACCCTGGGAGATTCTAAGGAGTGGCTAGCCCAATTCTCTTTGTCTGTCTCATATCCAATTCTGGGCTGGGCTCTTGTCTCGTCCCTGTTTTTGTAATGTGCTCCCTCCTTCTTGGGACACTACCATTTCACTGTGGTCCATCACGCTGTTCTCCCCCTCCATAGGGACCATCCCTCACCCATGAGCTCTAAACCTCACCGAGAGCACGTCAACCACGTCATCCTCAAAGATGACTTAAATCAATGTGGTTGCCTGCATCACACATTGGAGAAATCAGCTGAGCATACAAAGAATGTTTATTTTAAAAAAAACAAAGCCACCTACCTCCCCGGCCTTCGCTATCTGCTGGTTTCACTTGGATTGGACGATTCATCTGCCAAAGGAAACACAGAAAGGATTGATGAGGTTCTAGGTTTGGATAGAGTCGTTCCATGTTCTAATATGAATCCATCTTTCTGAACTTGGGTGTCCAGATTTAGATAATATCCACAGGCCTCTATGTGTATGTGCCTGTAATAGATGGTGGAAATTCAGCCTTGTGGCTTCGTTTTTCTGGCAGCACCTTTGTTTAAATTGACTGAGCACCATGATGGAAAAGAAAAAAAAAAGAAAAGAAGCAAATCTAGTTTTGTTTGGTAGTTCCATGCTCGGACCCATAGTGACCAGGTAGCGTCACCACAAAACAGACAAGATAGGTTTTGGATCATTTGGCAAAGATCAACAATAAAATAAATCAGACTGCCATAATGAAAGAAAAAAGGTTCTGAGTTCCAGAAAAGGACCAGTGGAAAAAAGAGGTTCATCCAGTTTAAGAAAGAAAAACTGCATGCTACATTTTGGGAAAGTAACTCCTAAAAATCTTTGCAACAATCTCAATTGATCCTTTTTCCTCTAAATCCTGCATTAAGAAATTGGCTTCCACACATTTCAGTCTACACAAGCAATTATTCTAGATCTGTACAATTTTAGCTTTTCTATCAAGCTTCACCTATGCAACATAATTTCGGAATGATGGCCCACCGATCTTAATTTTCTCAATGGAAAGTTACTGTTTGTTACCCGCCTCCCAACTAGTATTGTCTCAACAATTGCCAAACTTATTCTCCCCAATGTGAAGTTTTAGACCAGCGTTTCACAACCTTGGCAACTCTAAGATGTGAAGACTTCAACTCCCAGAATTCCCTAGCCAGCAAGCTGGTTGGAGAACTCTGGGAGTTGGAAACCACCCATTTTAGAGTAGCTAACGCTGAGAAACACTGCTTTGGACCGATCGAGCATTATCATCCTAGATTCAAGAGGAAGCTGCTTGAAAGATTGGGAAAGATTGGAGTTTAGCCAACACAAGACAGGAAAACTCTGAAACAAAATTAGTATGGACAGAAAACAGCCCCAGCGTGTTGACTGTGGCGGGGTTCCCACACCATAATAATATGTGCTCTGTTTGTTTTTAGCTTAGCCTGCCCTATGAACTCAGTCACGGTGGTTTATGAACTGAGCTTCATGGCTTAGGGTGTGATGGAAACCCAAGCATTCAATAAACAACGGTTGAGCAAACTGAGGCTTATTGTAATGACTGAAGCCAGTCTGGAGGTTGTGTGAAAATGCAACCTAGTCCCAGGGCGGGTGGATGGGTGAGTGAAAAAATGGAAAAGGCTTCCTGAAAGATGCTGGTCTAAAGAGCTGGCCAGAATGTTGAACTAGAAACCGTCCGCATGTCAACACTTCATGCAAGCATGACTGCTTCTATCTAAGCCACTTCCTAAGGAGGCAGGATTGGAGCGAGCTAAAAAGATAAATGCTACATTTATAGCCTGGAACATCAAGCTAAGAGAGTAACATGAACTGAATACAGAAGCCTCCAGGGTACCACAGTGTTGTTTGCAAAACTGCCTCTGTTGCCGCGGTGAGGGATGCTTTTCCCAGCATCCTTCAGCCAGCTGTGTGCAGCTCCTCCCTTGCCTCTCTCCACCACCTGACCACTCTCCTCCTGCCAATCAGACTGGCTAATTGATTTGTGTATTAAGAGACATTGTTGATGGCATTTGATGGCTATTAAAGTCAATTAAAGCTCCTTCGCTTGATTGGGGCGACAGATGAATGGATACTGATGCATCCAATCCTGCATTCAGCATTTGCGGACAAACAGACAGCCATACGTCTACATACATCCCACACTCCACACCTGACCATCTCAAAGAAACCCACAGACATACTCCCAGCATGGCTGGAATACATTTGTCTCTTGCTGCACTCAGTGCTGGAAGCAGTTTTTTGGACCTTGGACTCAGGAACTAGTCAAGAACTAGCTTAGTAGTCTCAGAAGACTAGACAGTACAGAACATGTACACCACCTTTCAACAGCCTGACATTCTGTGGATCAGTGTTTCTCAACCTTGGTAGCTTGAAGATGTGAGGACTTCAACTCTCAGAATTCCCCAGTCAGCATATGATGGACTCCAATTTCCAGAGTTGGGAGTGAAGACTTCAACTCCCAGAATGAATTTCAACTCCCCAAATTATGTGGACTTCAACTCCCAAAATTATATGGACTTCAGCTCCCATGCTTGCTGGAAAATTCTGAGAGTTGAAGGCCACACATCTTCAAGCTGCCAAGGTTGAGAAACACTAGTGTAGAGAAAGAAAGATGACTTCATTAGAACTATGCAAGAACTATTGTCTAGGTAAAAGGGGTTGAAACATTGCTTAAGCCCAGAAGACCCAGATAACATTCAGAAGTGAGTCAGGCAGATGCTTCCCTGAGTGTAAGAGGTCCAGCGTAATAAGACTTGCAAAATTCTGTTTTTATAGCCCATCTCTATAAAAGTAGCTTTAGACTTGCTATGGTGTTGATTTCCTAATCCAGTCTACCTAGTAGGGCTGACAATGTTTGGGATCAGACAGTCCAATAAAAATACTCTCCTGAGACCATGGAAGCAACTAATAAAGTATCTAGTAATCAGGACATGCTGAAAGTTGAAGTTGCTTTCTATACTTATTTAATATTTACAGATTTTGCAAATTCCTAACTTACTTCCTGGCATTTCACACAACCAGCTCTGCCCCTTTTGCCTGAGGCTAACAGACCAGCTGGTGAAGGAACACCAGCGACAAGTTAAGTTGCAAACTTCTAAGCTATTCTTTGGCACCACAAGTTTCTGATGCATCTTGGCAAGGGAAGCTACGATTTGGCAGACTAGCTTACATCTCTTGGGAAGAGTCAACCACTCAATAAAGAGTCAATTCCTCTCTTAATGACTGGGATTTGCCAAGCTTAACAAGAAGGACTTTTGTCCAGTCTGGAAAGCAGAACGGTCTGCTGAACCTGGATCTGTCAGGAGGCTGGGAAATGTGATGTGCAGAATAATCAAGAGTTGGGGTGGGCGGTGGAACGCGATATGTTGTAGAGTTACAAAATAATACCATTGAAATTGGAAGGTGTCTTGGTGTCCTGCTAATCCACCCCCTGCTCAATCCAGATTCCGCTTGTAGCATTCAACTACAGCTTCCCTGACAGATGGTCATCACATTGCTTCACAAGTACCTCTACAAAATTGGCCTCAATTTATTCCCAGCATCTGATCTTCCATAGTGTCAGGAGGTTTCTTCTCTCAGAGACCCTGGCCCTCCACTTTTGGTCACGTCAATTGCTCATCATGACTCTGGGGTGGAAGGGAATATCCTTCTCCACTACGGCAACGTTTCTGATCGTTGAAAATAACCATCAAGTCTTCTCTTCATCACATCAAGTGATAACACAGTTGGAATCCACAAAATTAGTTTATTCATTATAACCTCATTTTCCCCCCTCTGGAAAGTTTAAATCATGGGTATAGGAGGGGTCCTTGGTGCTCTCTGAGCTTGCTTGTTTTCTTGCAAGAAAACAAGCAAATATTCTCCTTCGTTGTTATGGGTATATTTATGACTTGGTTGAATGCTCTCCTGTTTTTTTTTCACACCTTGCACATAGCAAACTATGATACCAAAGAAAAAAATCTTGGCAATTTTTTTTTTTTGCCTTGACCAACTAATTTTCCATTGGTAAGGTCTTAATCCCTGATTATCTGGGTGTTGGTTGCTGGAGAGGATGTGTTTTGGTCTTGTTTCCTTCTTAATTCCTAAGATAATAAGCAGGGATTAGCACCAGACAAACAAACAAGCAGAAAACAATGCCCTAATCAAGGAACTACCAAGAAGAAACCCACACCCCCACCAACACTGGAAGGGCAAGCTGTTGTATATAAACAAGGAGCAAACCCCACACTCACTAACACTGATGGTGTTACCTAGTTAGGTAATGAAACATCTGCATGTAAACAACCAAGCTCAGAGAGGACCAAAAACGGCACAGTTCAGTTCTGAGCTATGTATGTTCTCTTCTATAGGAGAACTTAGCGGGAACGTCAGATAACAACTTGCATCTGGCTCTGTGTCTTGTCCTCTTTGCACCATGTGAAGTATGAGAGGGAACACAAGAGGTGGCACTTCTGATGATTCATTTCTCCAGAAGGCTACCTGGGGGTCCAGGTTTCTCCAGAAGGCTACCTGGAGTCCGGGTTTCTCCACAACCTTTCTCCCTAGAACTATTCTCACACTTTCTTTTTTGTGATCCAAATTGAAAACGACTACAAAGAATCTAAGAAGAGTTGACTGGACGATACCAAAGTGCCTGCAGGAGATGACAGATCCATTCTGGCCAGCTTGTTCAGATGTCCCTTCAAAGCTTTGGGAGATCCAGAACAGAGTACAGAGAAGAGCAACAAAGATGATTAGGGGACTGGAGGCTAAAACATATAATGAACGGTTGCTGGAATTGGGTATGTCTAGTTTAATGAAGAGAAGGACGAGGGGGGACATGATAGCAGTGTTCCAATATCTCAGGGGCTGCCACAAAGAAGAGGGAGTCAAGCTATTCTCCAAGGCGCCTGAAGGCAGGACAAGAAGCAACGGGTGGAAACTGATCAAGGAGAGAAGCAACTTAGAACTAAGGAGAAACTTCCTGACAGTTAGAACAATTAACCAGTGGAATAACCTGCCTCCAGAAGTGGTGAATGCTCCAACACTGGAAGTTTTTAAGAAGAGACTGGACAGCCGCTTGTCTGAAATGGTGTAGGGTTCCTGCCTGGGCAGGGGGTTGGACTCGATGACCTCCAAGGTCCCTTCCAACTTTATTATTATTATTATTATTATTATTATTATTATTATTATTATTATTATTATTATTATTATTATTATTATTATTATTATTATTATTATTATTATTATTATTATTATTATTATTATTATTATTAAGGAGCACAAGGACATTCTCCCGTGGTTTTTCCTGAACTGATCTTCATTCGGAAACCTATCACTTCTCCACTATCTGGGACTGAT